TTAGCGTTAAAATCACCGACGATGACCTTGAAGAAAGTGTGGTCTTCTCTGTAGAGCCTCTCCAGATCCATATAAAACGCTTCCAACACTTCTTCTTCGTAGCTCGATGTTGGTGCGTAAGCAACGAAGATGGTTAGAGCTGGGATTGAGCCACATCTTCTTAATCGCAAACGTCCGATTCGGGTTGTTAAGCTTTCGTACGAATCGATGTTCATGGCCAAGTGCGTATTGACGAGGACACCTACACCGCCGACGCCTCTACTGTCGCATGTTCCAAGGAACAGTTCTTCTTCAGTCTCAAATGCAGCGCGCAGCGGGCGATGCCTTCTCGTCTCGGTCAGTCCGATGACGTCGTACTTGATCTCCCTAGCTTGCATCATCAGGTCTTCTATACACGCTTCCGATGCAAGCGTCCATGCGTTGAAAGTACAGATCGCCATTCTAGTCCTTCTCCTTTTGGGCAGCCTGTTTTGGCAGTGAGTTTTTAGCAGCCTCTCCCGAGCAGTCCTACCCAACGCTGCCGTATTGGGGGCTCCCTCAGGTTCAGGGGAATGAGGCCCATTTCTATTACTGTTTTCTTTCTGGTTACATCATAAAAAACCTAGAGGTCGGTTTGCAAAAATATTTTTGTTCGCTCCAAAAATTTCACGTCATTGTAAGTTGTCGGATTTTTCGTTCTCCAACCAAACAAGTTCTCCATTCAGGAACCAGCAAAGACGGAAAGCGAAAGAATGCTGGAACCATGATGGGACATGGGTTTTTGGCTAATCCGTGACGATGGCCACTGCTTATAAAGCTTTTATAAAACAGATGATCTTCGCTTATAAAAAAAACAACCAGTCAGAAGACAATTTCCTTCGATATTCATTCCGCATTACCATATCATATCACCGCATATCCATATTTATTAGCAATATCTTCCGTTGCGACTGGAACAGTCTTGAGCCAGTTTTGTATTGAAATACATATTTATATCAGGCAATGGAACAAGCCATTCAACAATGAATTAACAGTGTGTGAATAACTAAATAGGGAAAACTGTGTTAATAAAGATGAATTTGATTAAATATTCACAGGCAAATAAAGGCAACGATAGGTAAGTCGATCAATAATTGATTAGTTGGCTCCAATCACTGTTGCAAGAACCAATCTCGACAGTTCGACATTATCGATCAATTTTATACAAAATATAAACATTAAATTGTCAAAAATTGCTCTACCATTTCTACAATCATGAACAGGTCAGTACGGTAAGATGACATGAGGATATCGTTGTGGGACCCATGCGCAGCTGAAAGGCAGAACTATTTGTTGTGCCTGCTACTATCTTCATGTCGTTTCTCGTCATCGTGGCCCTCGTCCCGTTTTTTCAGCAAATTGTCCAATTGTTGCCGAGCCTTAAACATTTCACAGAATTAAAAATTAAAAAACGCTCTGCAAGATTATAGACCCTGGTCCCTGAAGAGCCATTTAATGTATAGGTCTATTCTTTCCCTTTTAGGTGGGTTCAATAGCGTTTGGGTGATCCCAGGAGGAAGTAGGGCTTTAGTGAGTTGGACCGAACCTAATCCAATTTTCCGGAGATAACAATTTTCCAAATCCAGTTTTCCAATTTTCCGGAGGTAACACCCATATACACCCAATCCGGAGTATACGGGTGTTACCTGCTTCACAAGCTACTTCACGAGCTACTTATCCCTTGAAGAGGTTTAGAAGGGTGAAAATTGGGCATCATATGAAATGTGAAGATTGTCGTTCACTTTGTGTTCGAGCCTTGATCGATGTTATGTTCTCCGTGACTGAGTTCATGTACATTTCTATATGATCAGCATCTGTTGGTGCTATAACCTCGAGGGTGATTTTTGGTCCGATCATGACTAAGATTTATTTATTGCTCGGATATTCACGGACATTCATGCACTTCATAGTTATGCCTCATGGTAGCTGACACCTGTTATCGATAACAAAACTATCAAAACTACCACCAACAGCAAATAAAATGCGGCTGAAGTCGCGGCCTGGTAATAACAGAGTTCAAGGAGCAATTCGCGATGAAAATAATTTTGGGTACTGAAAATTGTAATAAAATTTTAGGGACGCGATAGACGATGTTGTCAAAAAACGGTACCAAAAAGGCGCAGAAAGGAGTCAAAATGTCAAGCAGAAAATAACTATTNAGACCGTAATGAGTGAAAACGTCCAAACTATTGATGAACTCATCAATATAAGCAATATAGGTGATAAGGGTGAAGAATAGGAAATTTTTGGCATAAATCAATCTCATTTTGGGATGCGCCCCGTCCTCGACTTTCATTCAGATTCGTAGTGGCGGTTTGTATGCACATGTGGTCTATACAATGGCTCACAGTAGACAGTGGTGTTCGAGGCCTTGCTCTTATCCTTCCAGATTAGTCTGGTAAGAATTAAGTGACCACGAAAAGATGGAAGACTTGGTTGGTTTGGACGAGATCCGATCCCGCACTATACGTGAAATAGTGTGCGGCAGTTGCCACCACATATACCGCCTGCGCCCCAACAAATTTGGGCGTTAATTGTTCAATTGCCAGCTTAACGTACTCAGACGATATAACATTTAATAAGACATTGAGCGGTCGGCGTGTTGAAGGCGTTTTTTGGCTTTCCCTCTTTTTTTCGTTTTTTTTTAATATTTTGCTATTGGCACATTATTATTTATTAGTCTTTTGTTCTCAAATCAATTAATCACAGTTAACGCCATCGCGAGTTATGCCTCTAGGCTGACCACTCCGCATTCTCAAAATGGTTCTATAAGTGTTCTATTTAACTTAATCTAGGCTATCTCTGAAATTGAAAACTTTTAGATAATTGGTTGTAACCGTTCCTGGAGATTGTTACCCGATTGGAAAACTCTCAACTCCTAATGCTGTTACTTCCACAGAAAAATTGCTGCTCTTCGTTCTGGGGCTTAGGGTACGACGTTTTGGAAGGGAATTTCTTAGTCAGTCACTAAGAATAGCCTCAAGAAGGTCGTATCTGAATTTGACCCCTGTGTTCCGTCTACGGTTACTTCCTCCCAATTTCCTCCCACTTCTATCACTTCGTTTGCTTTCAAGTATGGTTATTCCAGTTGGATACCCCCTTCTTTTTTTTTTAAATCGTTGTGGGCAACTGATCAATATCCGTGTAGACTTCACTGAGTGAATGAAGAAGTCAAGATTTTGTATAAAGTATTGTGGGATGATTCGGCCAATAGGCACGGTTTAAATGTGGGCACGTGAAGAGNTTCCTCCCAATTTCCTCCCACTTCTATCACTTCGTTTGCTTTCAAGTATGGTTATTCCAGTTGGATACCCCCTTCTTTTTTTTCAAATCGTTGTGGGCAACTGATCAATATCCGTGTAGACTTCACTGAGTTAATGAAGAAGTCAAGATTTTGTATAAAGTATTGTGGGATAATTCGGCCAATAGGCACGGTTTAAATGTGGGCACGTGAAGAGGGAGGATTCGATTTCCTGGGAACGAATCGAATTCCCTAAATTGTGTAGCCACCAACGCGGCAGCGACCAAACCCTATCGTCTTACAGCTTCACGTGACATTTGCTTCCACAAATAACAATGTGGGTGGGTAGGCTGGCAAGCTTTCACAATATGCTGAACATGTGGTGGAATCACATTAAGTTGATTTAGTCAAGGCTTTAGGAGGGGGAGATAGCAGTTTCACTCGATAATTTTTAACAAAAATAAACTTGAATCGAATGGGAAGGCCCCAAAAACTGTGCGGGACGACCGTATGTGGCTTAAAGGGTTACTACATATAGTACAAAACGTAGGGGTTGTAGTGAAAGCATCCGCTAATTTTCTAGGGCTTTTGAAAATTTTGCAGCAGTAGGCCCTACTTGGAAGTTGAAGCTAAGCGGAAGTGGGGTTGGGGAATAGGGAATGGGGGGGGAGGGGTAGGAGGGGTAGTCACGAGAGCACTTCTTCATGCCAGGACTCCATTTTCTTCAGTAAACTCTGACGGATTCCGGTTCAATCTCCCCCAAAACTTCTCCTTTGAACATTGAACATTACCGGTAGCAATTCAGCCTTTCAATGGAATTGGGGGTGAAATAATGGTACGCTGTCGGTATGGAATCATACTGAGCGATTACCTTTTCGGCTTCAGCTTTCGCTACAGCGGCCTCCATTGCAGCCATCTGTAGTTGCACTTTCAAATCGGCCAGCTGAGCAATTTTCTCCATTTGTTGTCTCTAAACACAGAGAATGGGTGAGTCAAAAGGTTCTGGCCAAAAAAGTTGTCATTCATAGTGAAGTATACTAAAGGTGGGGATCGGAAAAACAAACCTCTGACATAATTGGTTCTCGGTGAAACCTCCTTCTCTTTGACGTCGATGCCGAGGCTGAACAAATGGACTAAGTGAAAACCTATCATTAGTGGGTTCACTGTTACACATCAGATAATAACAGAGGACGAAAAACAAAGAGGGTGAAATTCACTGGACGGCACGCGTTCACCAATCGATCTGCTGTTGTCCGAGAATAAGCTCAAACATGCCTTCCGGTTTAACAAAGGCCTCGTGACCACTTCCTGGAGGGAGTGGTTAAAGACCGCTTCAGGTGGACACTACCGTAAAGGACGAAAGAGAATGTGGGAAATAGCTCCCGAGACATTTGAGTGAAGCCTCGCTGAACTGTTAAACCCTGTGCCAACTTGGCCACCCCAGGGCTACATAGGGCCTAGTCTCCCAGTAGCGAAGAAATGAAAAAAATGACCCGAAGGTCTTTAACCTGCTAATGGGGCCTCGCGAGAATATTATGGGGACGAAATATGGGAGGGATCTGCTCCTCAGAATCGCCTTACCTTTGCTAGAGTGTTTACTCATAGAATCTGACCCTATTTTTGAGTTCTATTTATTTTGTTGTTTTTGTTTACATATCCAGCTCTATACGTATGATTTTATGATATATCGTCATCGTCACCGAATTATGTGGAAAGGTAAATCACTGCAAAATGTGTAAAATGTATGACTGAGCAAAAAGCCGCCAGAAGAAACTTTTTCGGGACTTAACTTTGTGAATCTCTCAATTCCACGAATCGCGATACTTCCAGACTATTTGATGGGATAGTATAGCTCACTTCTTTCATTGACTTAAACTCCACCTCAATCCTTTTAGGATAGGCCATGCATTCGACATCAATGCAAATCCGGAGTGAGGTTCAAATGCCTGGCCTGTTGCACTGATGAGAACAACAGAACAGAGTTGGTCGCCTCTTAGGTGAGTGCTTTTATTGTTCCAGTCGAGTATGACACTATTTGAGCTATCCTAAGATGAATTAGCACTTTTCTTGATCGAACAAATTGTTCTAGGACATCTGACCGTTGAGTTTTGGGTCATAAGTGTTTTCGCTCGTTTGGTAGCCCCATTTTTGTTTCCATCCCTTACATTTGCCACTTTTCTATACCAATAGCCTTCTAACTGCGCTCCAATGGGGAGGAGAGCTGCTTTGTAATAGAAATTTGGTTCAAATCGGTTTCCCTCCATCACGGAAGGGTAATCGGTCTTTTTTGGCAGTGTAATGTATTAGTTAGTGAACTGTAAATTATGCATTAAGTAAATAATATATAAAATTAGTAGAGATAGTTGAGAACATCAGTAGAAAAGATGGAAATGAAAGAGCTGTCGCACTGCCGACGGACACCGCAGAGATTTTGATGGGTGGAAATGCTTGGAAGTGACACCATGAGCAAGACGTGATCAACCGCACACATTGCCGATGGGTTGTGTGGTGGATCAGTTTTTCTTATTGGGGAGGAGCTGTCAAAACACTTTCCCAGATGATGTTGAAATCACCAGAGCGTTTGAAAGAAGTTGGGGATGAGTCAGTGATATGACCGTTTTATATGACTGCTTTGGTTTCAAAGACTTAATTTCGAGTTATGATGATGAAAATTCAGGTAAGGGCCTGAGGGCTAAGGGCTTCGATTTTCTGACCATACGTAAACTAGTGCTCCTCTTGGAGTGACACCTCTGCTTCATTTCGGAATCTAGCACTTTTAAGACACTCATCTGAAGGTTTCCCTAATCAGAATAGCAAATTACCACCTCACAACGACCTCATAGGCTTTTTCAGAAGCCTCCCTCCCCCACCCTTCGAGACTTTAGTCGTTCGATGACTCGAAAAGATGGGCAAACTAGATAACTGATTTATTTCGTTCTTGGAGTACAAAATAGGCTTTGAGCTATGTTTTCTAACATCCCTTTTGCACCTTCCTATAATCACCAAATCCTTGACCGTATGAAGCGAGGGAGAAATCTGACTTGGGCTACCTAATTGTGAGTCTTGTGAGATTTTTATCAAGCTAATAGTGTCGGTTAAAGTCGTTTCTCAATTTGTGCCCTCATCGCCCTCGTAGTACCCTCCTGAAAGCATCAATCCCATGTGGAATGGAATTTTAGTTTGATTGTACATAATTGTCGACATCAAAAGCTTGCAGAATAAAAATTCACCCCGTACAGAGCATATTCCCTCCTCCCATATTTCGGGCAAAACAAATAAACATTAAAAATACTAAAAGGGCATGACAGCCTTGTATGGCTTCGAATAATCCCAATTTGTAATGCACCTTTATGCGATTCCCATTCCCAATAGTCTGTTGGCCCGATCGGATATTGATCTTATCTGTGCCCATATAGGTGGTAGCAGCTCCTCTCTACGGTAACCTCAACTTCTCTTTATGGAAGATAAGAATTCCAGTTGGAAGAATCATTAGGACCGTGACAATGGAGTCTCATGGTTTCTGCCGCTGTGATTCGAATACACCCCGAGCAGGCTTCCGATTATGGTAACTGCGAGAGGCAGGAAACCCGTCATCCACTCTGGGCCCTCTTACCTCTTACAACAGGGGTTGAACATGATGGGCTGAGCAGTTGTATAAACGTAGCTGAAGGAGGCTGAAAAACGAAGTTGTTGAAGTACTTAACCGGTTTCCGATAGGTAAAAAAGGCGAGAGCACCTCATGCCAACATGCAACACCGACAAGAAGAGATATCTCAAAAGGAGAAGTGCAACGAAGGACAGGGGCCTCGAAAAGAGCTAAATGGTCATGAGGGCGGAAGTCCTTAGGTGAAATCCTAGAAAGGAGAGGAGCCGTCGCTACAAGGCGCTCAGTATTTAGTTAGAGCTCACCCTCTAGCCATTGGTCGTCGTACTTCATGGCGAAAAGACAAACAAAGCAAAGCGCTCGCACTGCGTTCTGAGCAAACTCGTCCGCACCGCCGCTGTCGGAGCTGCCACTTGATTATTCCTATACATGGTAGCCGCTTCTGCTCACAACACACCTTTCTGACTCATTATGCGTCCGACTGCTTTCATCGTGTGGTTGCTATACGTTTTAGTCGAATCGAAATGGATTCATGTAAAGGTATGCTTTTCAAGGATACTTGAATTCTCGACTACCTACGCGGCTGTCCACAATTTCTTGAAATCTGCATGATAACGAATGATTTTTTCGATCAGAGAATCCCCTTCGGCTCATGAGTCTTTTATTTCAATTTAGGCATTTTTTCCCTTCCAATCGGCTTTTCCAGCAGACCACGAATCTGTCTCCGGATCTTTACTGGAGAGCTCCTAAAAAGTTGAACCTTTGGCAAGCCCAGTATAAAGTCTCTATACGATGTTTTGTTTATAAGAACTTGATTCTAGAACACCTCAAATCTTCCATATCGATTCCATCTGACTCCCATAGGGATTGTATGGTAGGGATTTAATCAAGGCTGAGTTTGTCGCGGAATTCTCAGCTAAGACGTTTTTTTTCGTGGAAGAGGGGAAGACGGGGCTCTAATTAGTTTTGACAAACGATTTGACTCATTTTGAGAGTTACTTGAACAGTTATGTGCACCTCTCCTGACCTCTCTTCCCCAATCCTCCTACCCCAACTGTCACACGAATGTCAACGTCATGGGAAAGTTGCGTAGGTAGATGGGGGGTCGTACTGGCGGTGTGGTTCTCCATGGTGTCATGCTTTGCTTGCAGTATTCCCTAGGAGATTTTGATGGAGGCGTGGTCTCAAAACACGATAACATCTTTCGAACAAAGGTTTTTATGGCTTCAATGAGTCACTCACTGCTGGATCAGCGTGGCAAAGATGTAGTGAGGGGACAGCACGGTTTCATGGCTCTGCAGTAAAAGCCAATCTTTAAAAAAAGTAAACTCCCTAAAAAATGTGAACTCGTCTCTGTGAATGTGAAATTTGTAAATGGTGCTTCTTACACCTTTTTTCTTCCAATAAACAAGTTCAGTGCAAGCTCCACCCACTCATGCGCTCGCTCCGCCCATTTCGGGCGCTTCTGCCCGTTCTTGAAAACCTTTGCTAGTACATCATACTACGTTGAAAAGTAGGCGACCAAGGGGGTGATATCTCATCACATCCTGAGCATAGGTACTCTAATACCTCTGTAACCTGTTGATAACAAAAGAAGACCTTCATCGAAAGCCGAATCAACTCGTCATTTCCAGACGCATTTTTCACTTTTATGATGAAATATGAGCCCGACGATTAGCAAGCTGCCACTGAAAGTGCACCGCCTCGCTTTTATTCAATGAATATTGGCTNTTGAAAAGTAGGCGACCAAGGGGGTGATATCTCATCACATCCTGAGCATAGGTACTCTAATATCTCTGTAACCTGTTGATAACAAAAGAAGACCTTTCCTGAAAGCCGAATCAACTCGTCATTTCCAGATGCGTTTTTCACTTTTATGATGAAATATGAGCCCGACGATTAGCAAGCTGCCACTGAAAGTGCACCGCCTCGCTTTTATTCAATGAATATTGGCTACGGTTTCCCATTACTCCAGTCCAGAATAGCATTCGTTGTTTTCAAGGGCAATGGGTAGGCTCACTATTCATCCGTACGTCAACGAACTCATAAAAACTAAGATATAGCATTGTTACCTTCTGAACAGCATATCCTATTGATCCACTTGAACGGCAATCTTACGAAACACCCAAGAGTGCCAACTTGGAGCCGCGGTTCTCAGTTTTGGGCAAAAATTTAAACTGCATTCGGCTTTTTCCCGTATCATCCTGGCCCAATGCACTACAAATTTTCAGACCACCTTGTTTCAGCTTTTAGGCATACTTCCAGATGGATTTCTTCCCCAGATTTCATTAATAAGGTTACCAATTGGTGAAAAACGCTATTTTCGTGCACTTCTAGCTTGATCCCGTGTATTGGGAAGATCTGCCAGAGAATGAGTACGGTGAAAGGAGACTGAATTGTCACAACTATGATCCCGAAACGAAAAGCCGATATCGATGGAGATTCAATGGATCGAGCATTCTTCCAAAGCACACTGGAACACATAAGGAAGAACTCATGTAGGTTTCTGATGAGGAAAAGCGTATAGACAAAAAGGTTTCGAATTATGCTAGTAAAGCATAGCCTGCAGAGGACCTCTCATCCATGAAGGTGTTGGCTAGTTTAAGGTGTTCAGAGGGCAGTGTAGGTGGAATTTTTTGAGGTTGAAGGGCCTGTGTAGGAATCGTCGGCGAGTGGGGGGTTGGGGAGTGGGGGAGAAGGGGGGAGAGGGGGGGAAGGGATAGGCGAGTGTCTGTAGTGAAAACGCTACACGAGCCATGAGTCCATCACCATAGTACGTGTACTACGTGAACTACTGCTTTGATCCCATCCTTTTTCTCTTTACTTACTTCAGCTGATTTCAGATTTGACAAAGGATCGAATGCATACCGCGCTCTGTTCGCTGGAGAATACAGTTGTTGTATTCACGAGTCACTTGGAAGGGCATGCTATACGCAGCGGCTACTACTTAGAGGTCAGTCTTGAGATTGTATTTTGTCTCATTTTTTGTGCATGCTTTTTTCTATTAAGGTTTCTGGGTTTTTCTTGTATTTCTAAGACCTTCTTGAACTCGGAAAAATTCTCTTCTGGGATGAGAATAATACTCTAAAAAACTTGCAGGAAAACACTTCGTCACCCATCCCGTAGTTCAGAGCCGCAGAGGTGAAAGGAGCTTCGAACCTCCACCTTTTACCTATCCTACGAAACTCTGTCAGAGACTTGCTATCGCTCCATCATACCAAATATTTTTAAAAAGTATAAGAACTTATCTGTATATTCTTTATCTCAGTGAAGATCCGAGATGACTAACGGTAAGAATGGGAGCTCACTTCCGCCGGAACTGATGAATGCAAAATGCTTCTAGTAGCAATATCAGAGAATGGTGAAAAAACGTTCCGTCATCCTTATTATCTGGGTTGAAAAAAAAGTTTTGCAGGTGTCAGTCAGGAAAACTTACCTTTCACTCGTTGGGGTAACGAATGCCGGTCGATTCCAATGGTAAACATCCGGTTGAGGAACTGAGAATGAAGGGTTTTGCGTTGATCAGTTTTATTGAGGAATGCGCCTACGCTTTCAACACCCAATTAGAATCGTTAAGGCGTTTGTAAGTGTGTTTGACCAAAGCGTTTGGATGAGAGGGGCAGCGAGAAGTGCTTATGTTGAATCATGATTTTCATTCTACCACTCGCGCTTGGCACCAATTTGTCCGGTTCAGCTATTCAGATGCAGGGAGTACTCAGTTGATCTAGATGTTCTTTTATTTCATGATATTTACATCCTGCTGCTTAAATCAGTGAATAATGATCTTTTTTTTTTACAAGAGCAATTTGAACATTTTCGTGGATCTAATCACTCAGCAGGTAAGATAGGGAACATTCGATGTTTGCTTTGTCTCTGTTCCCACAACCTATCTGTTTCCTGACTATTTGTTTACGAATTAAGTGGTCACGAATGTTTCTTTCGGGATGACATTTTTAAGTAATCAGCTTTAGATCCTCCAGAAGAAATTGGAGTGGACCTGACTGATTCGGAGGTTTTATATGCAAAAGAAGGAAACTCGTACAATCTACGTTTGGCTAAGAGCAAACTCATGGAGGAGTTACGGTGTAATCTCAATAACCATTCAACACCGGAAAATGTTATTCCATTAGTAAGCCGTTTTAGAAATTTCTCGCAATATTTATTTACTTGTTTACGTATTTGTATGTCAGGTAGCAAAACGAAAAACCGCAAACCATCATCTCAAAATTGAACACATCTCGGCCGACAACGTTGGAGAGTATAATTGTACCTTACGACTCTACAAAAAGGTATGAATGCAGGAACATTCATGAAGCTATACCCTTCCATAGAAATTTCCGAAATTTGATCTGGAAGCTAAAAGAAAAAGGATTTCGGTTAAGGAGAACACCCACCTGGGGCTCGTCTCCAAAGTGATATGTATCCGTAGTCACCCCTCCTCCTCCATGAGAGTGGAACTCACCCAATTCGCTTCTTTCTCCCGTCTCCATTGAATGGGAGCATTTTCTGTTGACTGGCGAGCTCGTATCTGTTCCTGAGCTAGTTTTTGACTCACTTTATTCTTCTCTTCTTATTGACCCGATCAACCCAGTCTGTCTACCTCTGATAAGTATTTTGGGCTGTAGTAGTAATTGTGTCTAGGTTTACTAAATACAAAAACTCGGTCTGGTCGAGTTGAGTGAGAAGTTGAAGTTTGATTCAAGTGAAGCTAGATGGACACCGTACGAAGAGCTTTTAGATTTATGTCCCTATCAGAGTTCGCCGTATCGTTTTCGAAAAATTCCCATACGATACTATGGGTATTGACCTAGCAGGATATGTACTTTACTCTCATACTAAGCAGTGATTGACTATTTGGTTTTATACGGCGGAGAAAAACGCATGAGCCGATTGAGATCCTGCGCGGTCCGAAAAGCCTACCCGCGTAACCAATTTCGAGCTGTGAGGTTCAATTTCTTCATATTACAGGACTATCGCACAAAGAAGTTCTCCGTCGTACTTGGATCCGATCCACAGCTTTCTTCTGCCTTCAATCTTCCATTGACGTTTTCTATCGGATGTATTGTTTCGTTGATGATCTTGCTAGTATAAAAAAGTGGGTTCTGCCATAAATTGCGAATTTCCAAGAAGAACCAATTTGTGGTTGCATCCTCCAGGGTGTATTCCATGTTTTCCTTGCAGAGAATGTTGTTAAAACCTTGTATTTGAAGCTCAGTAACATCTGGGACCCTAGGCACTGTTCCTATTTGATCCCTGATTTACTCTTCATTGAAGAGACGGGCACCTCCGATACTTTTTCAGCTGAATCATTAATAGAGCGTTTCGATTAGGTTATGTTCGCCGTTGTGGAAATTTTTTGTTTGAAAATCAATAACGTGCTCATATAATAACTATGCCGCGCGCGGTCGCCAAGCGGTCTGTCATAAGTTGAGTCCGTCCCCACGCATCTTAATGCATGCAGCGACCTTTTTTCATTATGATCAGATTTTTCAAATATCGCGAGGCGATTGGCATAATGAAGTATGACTGATTTTTTATAGAATCCCAAGTCAAATTTAGGTAAACGGAGTGAATTAGTATAAAAAATGTCTGTGAAGTATACTAGAATGGAAGCCTATAAAAATCACTCTTTGACCTTCATTGATAGAATGAATATATGCGACGATTTTTATTATAATTCCTTTATTATTGTAACAAATATGTGGTAATAATTGTAACAAATGGTAATAATAAATACATGATAGTACAACATGGTAATGGTAAATAATTGAAAATAAATGGCAATAAATTCATGCCTTTTTGAATCCATATTCTCAAGAGTGAAAAGCCTCAGAGGTATTTTTGAAACAAGCCTGATCAATAATTAAATGACCTTTTTACCGAAATTGCCATCTTTTTAGGTTTGTGGGGCAGTTTTTGGCTGCAAAGTCGATATCGACTTCCAATTTTTGACTGTTCGCCAATACCGTAGCGCTCTTGGATGGGACCTTTTAGAAAATACGGAAAAAAAGTGGAACATGGGAGTGGGGAACATTCTGGGCCATCAACCATCCTTATAGACGAGACATGTGATATCATTCTTGGTATGAACACAGTATTCATGAGTATGTACAATGTAGGAGAAAGCGCATTCGGCGCAGATCACACCAAAACTGCCATCGAACGTCCGGCTGACCGCCCTGTGTACCGCCCTTTTTGTTTCGGCCAATTGTTCGCCCATCGACTGAAATGTGCCCTTTCTTTTTCGGTTTTCTATTTCATTATTTCATCGTTTCATTTCTTTTCTCATCTCACTCATTTTTTAATGATGACGTACTGTTTACAACATAAATTCACGTTTTGTAATCAGATTGTTTATTCGCCACAATTGGACCGATCTCCTAGATGCCGAGACTAGCAATCTGGTCAGTTCTTTAGTGAACATAGCTTAAAGAGGGCCGAGGCAAGCGGAGTTACCGTCTTACTCATAGCCTCTGGATCAGTGGGCCTCCGTTGAATTAACCAATTCTTCCATCCATGCAAAATCAAAAATTCCGGGGGAAAACCCGCGATTCCCACAACGTTTTTAAAGGTCGATAGGTGTGGGCCACGGCCCTTTTCACGTTGGATTTCCACACGACACGGACCTCAACGACATGATGACAGAATCGAAATTTAGGAAGCGGGCATCAGGTCCTTGCAACAGCCGAGCTGTGGTTCCTGGTCCTAATGCTTGGTCAAAACTGTTTGCTCAGCCAATTAGCGACACCATCTCCCACCCCATGGCCTTGCTCGGGACCTTTGAATTGTATACAGGAGGGGACCTGTTACATTTTATTCCACAGCCAAGTTATTGTAACAATCAAATCCTCCCTGAATTTTCGTGCTTGGACGGCAGATGGCCTCCTTTCCCATTTCTTTTCTCCCGTCAGTCTTATGCATTTTTTGATATTTTCTCTATTTCTATCTGGATTAGAGGCTATTCCAGTGAAGGTCGTTTTGGTGCAGTGCACCCGAAGCCGGAACCATGATATTCTCTGGAGATTAGGAACAGCCGGAAGCCACGTGGATTAAGATTTTCGCCTGAGTTTTCGGGAAGGAGGAGCTGTAAGGTGGATAAATACTGATCACTAAATGCCAAATTGCAAAAATAGGGGTACCGTAATCAACACGAACTAATGTGTCCAAGTCCCCGTCTTTCTGGGTAGGCACCCAAATCGATCCTTTTCTCCATAAGAGTCATACGGTTGAAGGAGTGCTTGATTACGGATCCAATAGTTCCTGACCTCATTCATTATCTTCCGTAGACTTTCATCCGTACAAGTGCCATCGCCTCTGCCACCTTTCTTCCTCAGACGGGCCATTGGTACTGGGACGTTGTCTTCTGGAGCAAGTAGAGCAATTATCATCAAAAAGGTCTGGACGAGATAGAGGTGAAGAGGCAGGTCTTACCTGGTTGCTCAGTTGTGTCCAAGGTGAGTAAGGCAAGTGTTAAACTGATGAAACAGAGGAAGAGAAGTTGGTGCATTTTGAAGTCGGCGCTGGTGTTTAAGGGGATAGTCCTATGGGATATTCTCCCTTGTTTGTATGGCGAACACTGTCAAAAGCGCCGTTGACGTTTGCAAATAGGCGTAATTCATTTGGCTAACTGAGGTTTGATGACACGAAACGGATGCGTGTCATCTTGGCTGGCTAGGTATGACAGTCCCCTTGGAGTCGTATTTACGAGAATATAACTACAGACGAGTTTTCGTCAGTCAACCGAGGGATGTGCCCTTCACATTCGACTTACATTCAGGATCGTAATGGCGTATTTAAGTGGCCTATGCAATGACTTACTCAAGCCAGCCAATGTACAGGTCAGTGCTATTCTCCTCCCAGATGAGTCTGGTACTTGGTAACCGACCCCGGCGTGACGGAAGGCTCGATTGGCTTCGACGGATATCAAATCCGTGACCAAGAGGGTGAGATAGTGCGCCACTCAACATTATACCACCTCCGCCCATCTCAAAAATGTCTGTAAGTAAATAAAGATAGCTTGAGATGAAACAAAGAGCATAAATTTTTTTATTTAGTATTTTACAATCAATTGTTGTCCTAGGTTGAGGTAAAAAATAACTGTAATTGTTGTTTCCTTCAAAATCGAGTTATCACAACGTTCTCCTCGGTATCGTTCCCTTTCTTGTCTGCTTGAGAAGTCTGAAATTGACTGCGAGTGCAATAAAGATCACCATAATTACAAGCATCATGTCGTATTCGCACTGATACTGAGTTATCAAACAACTCTTTATTGGTTACCTCATTGGAAGCTTTACTAGTTTCCAGCCGGACATTCTCGACTGTAATCTTGGTCGTCTGACGTGACACGTAAGTGGCTTCAGCTTTTTCCGTAGTCGCGACCCTTCTCAGCTCCTCACAACTGGCATGTTCAACGCCTTTCGGGCTTTTCAACGATAGGCTCAAAAGGCATTCCTCCACCTGAAAAGTGTGATTGTTCTATCATGTGCTGACATAGATGCTTGTGGGCGAAGAATCCTACCTCGTATGGGACTCCAACTTATGACCGCGTTCCTAATGATAGAACGTGTTTCAGAGATAGAAACTCGTAAATGTGAGGAAACGCCAAGCACTGGATCTAAGCCTACAGAATTTTGAAAGCAAATTGGTTGGGGAAAATAAATCAGTTTCTGAATGCGGTGCTGGAAAAATAGTGCCCTCGTCCAAAAAGAAGCCGAAAAGAGGATGACTCCAAAGAAATGAGGTCCAAGTTCTTTGTAAAGTCGTTGAAGCCACCATCATTCACAGTCCTTCAAAGCAAAAACCCAACTGAAGGAGTTAAAGATAGCAAGAAAGTGAGATGAGAAACGCAAAAAGGAATTCTGTGCAAGGCGAGAGCACGACTAGTTACATTCGTTTTTGCTGCTACCAAAAAAAAGCCGGGCATTAGACCTCTGCGGAGGCTTCTCGACAGCTAGGAACCCCCTAAGATGCCAGCTTTGTTCAAGAACTCACTGCATGCAGAAATTTGGGTCTCGTCAAGGATGCGGATACTGTGGAGTCAAAACTCCCACTAGTAGCCGAACTTACTGGTTAGGATAGGAATGGTAGGAGTTGGTGAAGATCATCAACGACATCATTGGAGAGAGTGTGCGTAAGCGTTTCTCTGAGAACTTTTTAAATTAATCACACGCAAAATATGGTATACAACCTTATTGCTAGACCTATGAACCGACTATTACTGTAGCTATACCACTCTGTTGTACCATTCCGTACTCTACTGAGTATCTTTTATCGGAAATTTCCAGAGGAATCAAGAGTTATACGTACAAACACTACAGTATGTCCTAATTTACCCTCGAATACCATGTGTTAATCTGTGAACTTCCATATTGAACGAGTCGTTTACACGGACTGCATTTTTTTACTCGATTCAACTCTATTTTACTCCTTTACCTCCTTCTATTATCATTTCTTACTCCATTGCAGTTATGATGAGGCTTCGAGAACCACTGCACTATCACGCCTACGATAGCCCCAAGAATCTAGAGAACTGTAGATCCAGAAAGTCGGACTCATGAGAAGCGGCCTATTGAAGATCCTCAGCAAAACGATGCTATTCAGAGCCGGTCTATTCCAGCAGGAAAGAAAACTACGGCTGGTAGCCCACAAGCGGGTGAACGAGCGGAGGAAGTAATGAGCTGAATAATCGACAAGTTCAGGTTGAGCTTTATCTGGTCACTTCATACTCACTTAGCTCATGGGATGTCTTGGAAGGATTCTAAAAAAGGAAAAGAAGTTAGTTTAAACTCACAAAGTATTCTGGTAGTACAATGTTAGAGGTGTGAGAGGCATCTGTGACGGCGATCTCTGGGTCCTCCTCCAACTTTCCGAGTAACTTCTGAACAAAGAGTTTCCTCTCATTGTACAGGACCAGCAGTCATTCCATATAGTAAAAGAATATAAGCCGTGGAACGATATTTAAGCTTCGAAAACATTAGGAGATTTGGTTTCTTCCGTACCCTTTTTCTTCCTCTCTCCTTCTCTTCATTTCCTTCTCACATCTTCTTTACCATCCCCCTTCCCCACTTTTCCCTCTTATCCTCCTTTTTCTCTCCTCTTTCTCTTTCTCTTTCTCCTTCTCTTTCTCCTTCTCTTTCTCTTTCTCTCTAGCTCTCCTTGTTCTCTTCCTTCCTCTTTCTCGCTCCGTCTCTCTCGCTCTCTCGCTCTTTCTCTCTGAAGAATGATCTTCCGACTTAGGCTACGTTTTGGTCTGCAATAAATCAAACTAAGAAATTATGCGATTCTTCACATACCATTCTTGGCTTCGGAATAGGGAACTGTTGTGACGATGTCGGAAGAGGCGTTGGAAGCCGATCATGAACCTGAATTGGTGATTTGAGATTTATTATGAAAATAAGTAGTTTCTTTCGAGAACTTTTCTAGTTTTTGCTCTTTTATAACAGAAATCCTCAGCCTAACCGTTGTATATTTTCATACAAAAAATATCATTCGTTCTTGATCTTCTGAAAGTGAGGCATTTTCTTTATCTCTTTGATATTTTCTAATTATTTGCTCTCTGTCTTCATACCTATCGGTTTGTTTCACTATTCACTCGCTGTGAGGTCTTCTTCTACACTTTGGCAGTTGTAAAAACGGGGTCCACTTTTCCGGTGTACCGGGTGCCACTTTTCCCGATTCAATTCTCGGCCGGGGTGGATGTCAATTGTTGAGTCCTCAGCGAGGCATAAAGAAAGAGCTGTTTTGGTCGCCGCTTAGGAGGTTGTCCTGGCACTTCGAGTGTGAGGCCAAGCTTACAGACGCTGTTTTTGTCCGCATGACCATACTATCGATGACGAGCTTCATGCATTTCATCAGCATTCATCGTCATAATTCATCCATATCATCCATATACTCGCAGTTAAGGGACTTTGTCCATGACCTTCGGGTCAGAGCGATCCGAAGGCAACTTCTCAATTGGCATAAGTCATCTCAAATGGCTCTTCATTAATTTTCATTCGAAATAGTTGTCAACCCTGGACTCAGTGTTCAAGCCAATTCACTGTCTTCAAGAGCCACTGCCATTTTAGCCCTCTGGCGCAGAAATGGGTGACATTGGTGGTGGAGAATAGATTCGATTTTGCACACGAGCTACTGTAAGTAATTCAAAAAACCAAGCTGTTCACCATGGAACGTATCTTACCACCCATACACAGTTCCTTGTATGCAATTCGGCTAACAGTCCCGTTAGGAAGTCAGGTCTTGCAGGTGCAGGACAAAGTCAGGTTTGGCAGTGGACCAGCGTCATTGCCTAGCAGTCCCTCCTCTTCCATATTCACTGCAATCCATGTGGATGGTCGAAGTTATGGACCTTTGTCTCAGCACTTATGTCCTTTCTCCCTTATTCATGCTCTTCCCATTTCTTTCTAGACTTTCTAATGCATGGGTATACACCACGAAATTGTTGATTCAGCTCGCAATTAAATTGCATTCTTCACCAGGTACTCTTGTCGATCAGGAACGATTGTTATCAGTTTCTAAGTATTTTATTCCAAGGCCATGCTGACTAAGCAGTGACGTAGCTACTTTTTCTGTAGTCCCATAATTTTCGGACCACGTTGATCGCTTTCGGTTTTTTTGTTTTTTTCTAATTTGTTTATTCAACCTAATGTCACCAATAACCTACAGCTGGTTGCCAATAGGAGGGAACATAACGGTTGCCTTTCTCATAAAATCGGACCGACTCGTGATTTGGAAGGCCCAGAGTTGGTTTCAATCCATCATTGTCGACTAGAAATTCCTCATCGAAAGAGCTGGTCGAGGAGCAAGGCCGATGGTTCCTTCTTGTTCAAAGTTGGCTCTATAGAATGGAAAGGAACAAACTCCTTGAGCTGTGGTCGTTCATTTCACTCTGGTTCTCTTAACAATAGGGAGCCAAGCATAGTCAATCTTTGTGGTTACGGAAAAAAGATGTTCATCCCATTTTCGTGGTTATGAAGAAAGAGTTTCATCAGTTTCCCTTTCAGCTGTTAGCAACTGATAGCTGCTGACTGTGTCTTTATTTGATAAGAATCCCCATCACATGACTCCCATATGGCTCCCTCAATGAGTCAGAAGTGTCTATTCTATGATGCTGTTCTTAGATTGGAATTCCTGGAATTCTGGAGCAAGATTTCCCCAAGTTGTGGGAGCGGTGAGCCTAAAGTCCCCTAGCATTAACCAATCCCGTTTGCGGGGTGGGCCCACTTACGACTCCCACTCAAAATCGTAAGGACGGTGTGAATGTGTGTGGGTGACGTATCCGATGACTTGCGGTGAACAGCGAGATGTAAAGTCTCTCATTCTTCCAGACAAGTCTCCTATCAGTCAACCAGCCCCAAGGAATGGATGGCTTGGTCGAGTGGGCGGGTGCTGACCCGAGATCCTATCCACGGTTCATGGCGTCCACGTGCGCCACTACACAACTTCCACACTGGTAAGCGTATGGTACCTAGTCTACAGCAGAAGCTGGATATGAGTCTGGCAATATAAAGAGAACTCAAGAAGAATCCGAGGACGTCGGATGAGATTTCTGCCTGCTTTGGGGTGAATTCAAACTGTGGGAGTTGGGAATGGTCCATCTAGTTCATTTCAAGTCCAGTGCACCTCCCAACGCTATCAAATTATTGCATCAAAGGGGTCCTCCCTAAAAAATGGCCAATTTTAGCGGAATCTTGTTCAGAGGCGTCACGTAGATCTTCAGTCGAAAATTATAGGTTGGCCGACATTTGTGTAAATCATCTACCAGTAGAAGAACCCATCTATGAAGCGACAAGACTGCTGCCCGCCCTCCAGTGGGTTGGCTTTTTGCCTACCATTCGCGTGACTCCTAACGCAGCCTACCCTCCGATTGGAACGATTGGAATTTGATTAAAAAAAGCTCCCATTTGTGTTGGTCTGAAGAGATTATATTTCCTCACCGAAAAATTTGCTGAAGGGTCTATAACACTGAAAGAAAACGGAGACTCGGATACAACTTTTTGAGAAATTACCTGTTCAGAAGGGCTAGCAGCAGAATGCGATCCAGCATCTTGGCCCCGGATGACTTTATCATTTTTACTGTCTGGCATCGAAGATGAGTTTTGACTGGTTGCATCGGGACCATTTTTAGCGGTTGTATCGGTCGAAGAAGTTCGTCCTTGGTCTTGGTCCACTTTGACTTTAATGGGTGGTGGAGGTGCATGCCGTCGAGGTGGAGGTGGACGCGGTGGTGGCGCACGCTTCTGTAGACGGGCTTCGAACATGGCTATAGCCTTCCTGACAGCTATGCTATCATCTGGAATCTCAGTTTCGCCAGTCGCTTCCTGCCATATTCCACTGATTCGCTTCTGTTCTTCGGGGGGCAATTCCGAAATCCAGTGCCTAGTGTGTTGGGCCTGAGAGCTATCTGAATGGGGTGCTACGGCCGGACTCGCTCCAGATGATACCGACGACGGGACAGGAATTGTGTCGCTCAAACGAGAACTCATGTTGCCCAAATCGTCCGGTCGTTCAAGTACCTAAACTGGCTGGACCTTTTTAATAGTTCAGCTCATTGCGGTACGGAAACTGAAAGATCCGAACAGCAAAAAATATGCTCACCATTGAAGAAGAAATGGACGGTTGCTGTATTTTCTCCGGTGTTTTGATTAAGTGGATTGATTCTGGTGGCTTTGAAGGGTTTTTAGGAATCGTAGGTCTCCTAAATGAGTAAATAAAATAAATGAACTAACTTTTGAAGAAAATTAAAGCAAAATAAATCAAGTTCCAAGCAAATTAGTAAAAATACGGCTGGCTGACACCGATGATAACAATGTAGACATCATAGGGAAGTATGGAAACAGAAGTTCCAGGAAAAAGCCAAATGTCGTGTTTTAAGGATGTAGTAGAATTTTTATTATATTCTTATTGTTAATCAACTTATGAATTTTATTTTTATCAAACTGAAATAGAATAGTCATTTCATTTCTTCAATCATCCAAACCATTTCCCAAGCCTTAAAGGCACAGTTCACGATAAAAATGGTCTGGGATCATGCCCAAAGGATGAATTCGAGGGCCCCTCGTATACCATTTCTAGCGCTATGAGGTCTGAAAACGGCCTAGCTAGGGCGCAAAGGCTCAAAGATTGTCTCGTGCGCATCATCGGACGAGTTTCACCGACATTGTAGAGGCCACCAGATCACAAAGGAACCCGTGTAGGAAGTACAAACACTTGTCATGACCATAGGAACAACGAAAGGCAGTTCTGTTTAGTTCTGGCTTGATAAAGTCAGCTCTTTGCGCAATTGCAACATACGAAAGCTCGTCCGAATACCTATTCCATGCTTTTCCGTCATAGTAATCTCGTCCAAACCCTATTTACCCTACTTTTAAGGAGCGGTGTTTTACTCGAAATCGTCGTATTCTCTCGCTTCCTTCGCTACCGATGAACTAATTCCGACCCATATTTCCGCTTTTCGAATAAAAAGGGGTACTTCAAATTATCGTGAACTGTGCCTTTAAATACAGCTTACCCATTGAATGCCATATCTCTCGAGGCTGTCAAGGTGAAAAACTTCTAGGGAATAGTAACTCCAAACCAGGAGAGATCGATGAGTGAGGTAATTGTGGAGCAGAGCAAATTGGAGATTCTGATCTGTCTTGTCACTGTGTTATGTGACCTTCACTAAGAAAAATCGTTTGTGAAGATGCAAATAGCAATGAATTGTGGAGATGAGGAATGAGCAAAAGTCCTGGGAAAGAGACTGAGGACGTCATTTGGGTTGATAAAGGTCACTTGTAGGAATCCTCATCACTTATGTATGAAACACGGGTTTATAATGCACATTCGAGGTTGGAGTTCGACATGGGGAGATTCAAGTACAACTCTGTCACTATGTACTAATAAATATGCAATGAATGGTGAGAAATTTGGTTCTGGAATGAAGTCTCTTTCAAGAACCAGGCCAAGATACGATCTCTGCAAGCAGTATTCTGCACAGGTCCACTAAGGTCAGGGAAAACTACATCAAAAATGGATCAGATTAGAAAGTGTTGTCAATGATCTCAGTTACGAAAGAGGTTACTTTTGAAGGCGACACCCCAGTAAATTGTGCAGAAAGTATTTAAACGAAAAAAAATTCCCGTCGAGAAACACATCTCATTGTAGGATTTGCGAAAAAAATTCTAGAAGTGTTCGAATCCTTGCACTTTGATCGATTCATCTAACTTACTAGATTTCCCGGTTTGAATTTCAATGCTCACTTCGTTTGGGACGAATGTAAGCACCAATTCAAGCAGGGCTGAATCCTCTAACTGCGACTAGGATACCAGCATTACTCAGCATAAATTGAGTGTGAACTTGAATTGATTTATTTGCCTAATCATTCTTTCATTACCTCGCTTAATTTAATGTCTTCATTCCATTTTCGAAGATAAGATAGTAACTGATAACTGCCATCACCTCGCTTACTTTTTGCACTCTGGTGGAACAGTCCATGATACTTTTGGGATACGGATTGACTTGATTTAAGACGGATAATGGAAGCAATAGTCCAGAGTAGTGCAAAGAATGTGAAGGAAATGCGAAATGCTTGTATTCAGAGGAACATAAGGCTTCAGAAAAATGCTATAGTTAGGGGTTAGTTTGAAGAGAATGTGACAGCAAAAGATGCATGGAAGGGCTATTTGGACGAGCTGTTCATATGTGCGTGCCATGGCGTACAACTGACGGTTCGCGTGCAATGTGTTGTTCCCGATGCAAATGGTGCAACCTCTACAGCCTTTACAACGCCTGAGAACTCGTCCGCCTTGCGTGGGCACGTCGGCTAAGCCGGTTTTTGGTTTATTATTAGGCCCAATCTAGACCATTTTTCGACTCGACAGCATTCTTTTGCCATCCTGGGGGTCACAGGTTTATCCTGAACAAAAATCTCAGATGCCATCTTTATCGTTAACTGACCTTTTGTGAATCACAGCTCAGAACATCAAATCAAAAACTACTTTTTTATCAGGTTAGGCGATCATGAAATGCGTTTTCTCAGCATAAGATGTCCAAATGTCCCTTTTTATAGCGTCTAATTTAGCTCTATGTGAAATGAAGTAAGGAAATCCGTATCTTCATGAAGTGGAGTTTTCTAGAACATTCTTGTAGAAAGGAACAACAATGGTTTAGCTTGCCGATGGGTGGAAGTGGTTGAGAGAATTTTTTTTTCCCCGAAAATAGTGGAAGAACTGGACTGTCGAGGATCTGGATAACTGTTCTACTTCCATCTTGTACGTACATATTTGGTCACTGAACTTTCCACTGGAAAGTATTATAGCCTGGGTTTTCTGAGCTATGCAAGGTTTTATCAGAATAAAATGCCCAAGTTTCTCTTTGGGTAGCAGAAGGAGCAGAGAGATCTCTGTAAGGACTAGTCTGCTAAAGTCGAGATTCGATTTGGTCACTCTCCTATCTGGAACTTGTCCTGGACGCATTTTGTCAACAACGTCCTCCGAGGAAAAAATATGACTTTTTTGAGTACTCTGAAGTTATGCGGGCTGCCAATAGCTGAAATGCTTAATCGCGTTCTGGCGAAATTTGTTGACAACTTTTCAGCAACAAAACTTTAACTGGAAATGTTCACAAAAAAAGTGAGCCATGTTTCGTTCTGTAGGAGGTAGAGAAGAGCTTGCAGTGAATAATGGCAGTGTAGGAAGGAGTAGAAGTTTGACTAGAAATACTCAAAAAAGCTATGAACTTAGCGCCACACAGTTGTGCTCGTCAGGATTGAATCTTCAAAGAGCTGGGTCGATGAGAGAGTCGTCAAATAATGGCACAAAATAAATATTTTCCAGAAAGTTCCCTAATCGTTGTTAAAAATTGGTAAAAACCGATTCTATTAGGAGTGGAGGAGACTGTCCAGCGACAGAATGCTCTGTGGCTGCCGTCTCCTCGGCTTCCTCGAACGGATCTTGGTTAGGCCGATTAAAATCGAGTATCAGCTCATCCGGATAAGGAAAAACGCCTACTTGAAGGCTTCTAGTTTCTATAGCAACTCGTTCTAAGGGCACGATGTAATTATTATAATCGAATCGTACGACAGTGAGTTGCATGGCGCATCCGCAGAACGATATATGACTTTCTAAAGGGATTTGTGCATTTGAAGCTCACCACATGACGTTTCCTTCGTTATTGCTGACGTCGTTAGTCTCGGAATTCGTCGGAGAATCGCTTGTCGGTGGCGGAGGAGCGGGTTTCGTCTTCTTGGTTGTCCGCACACTCATCTCGGAACTAAAATTTTGTAATCAGACGGGTTTCCATCAAAGCTCCTGGGCAGGAAGCTCAGACCAATCAATAAGGCAGCAATTAATAAATGTAGAAAACCTATGATAAAGGACTTAATGCTCTAATTTATTGATAAGAGTCTGCTGCAAAGGCAGAGGGAGAAATGGGTGGGGTAGATAAGACTGAGGAGTTCAGAGGAGGGACATGGGTAGACGAGAATCTGTTCAAAGCTCTGAAGAAAAAGGAAAAGACGAGAGGCTTGAAAAAGGGTAACGGATACACTTTCGACAAACATTCGACGAGATTCTGGGGTCTACCCTGACCGCAGGGCTGGGCCGTTGTTCCAGTAGCATACCCCAGTTTCTCATATGAGTCAGCGACGACAATCACTGCCAACGACCGCCTCCATTCCACACGGTCACACACATTCAAGCACCTTACCCAAAGAATTCTTCCCAGGAGATCAAGAAAATCGTCCTCGATCGGGAAGGTTAACAAGGTACAAAGGTGAAGCCACGAGATTCCCCCCGAAATGTCCCCGATTTCTTTAAATCAAAATCCAAACGGCTTCGATCGAAGGCATTTGTTAAGAATGTTTTGTTAAGAATGACAAAGACTAATTCATGCATGGGAATGTCAATGAATTCGATTCGGCGGAACGATAGCGTTTCATGCAACATATTTCTCGGAATACAGTCTGTCAATTGAGTATTCAATATAGAACGATGTAATTTTCTAGATTTTTCTCTCGAAAGAGCGAAAAATTACCATACATGGATTGGTCTAGAAGATTAGTTTTTATATTACAATTATTATTACATTATATTAAATTATGTTGAACGGAGGTGATGTAGTGGCAAATGGCGCAGTACATCACACACATGGTCACGGGTTCGAATACCGGATCGGTATCTGCCTGGGTCAACCAAGTCTTCCATCCTTCCGGGGTCGGCCAATTGCGGCCAGTCTCGGTTGGGGGATCAGAGCACCGGCTTACACATCGGCGCTGGCCACCGCAATTCTTTGTACAGGCCATATACGCTTTCAATACGCCACTGCAATTCTGAACAGAAGTCGAATGCGGGGCCCATCCCTCAAGAGGGATTGATACTGAATTTTCAACCTCTATTGCTTAATTCTTTATGACTTTTTGACTTTAAAGCGAAATTTTTCCATATGCTTGGACTGGAGTCGACCGAAGACGATGAAGATGATGTTTCAGGGTATTCAAAAAAACCCAAAAATAGGTCACACTCTAGTAGCTTAAGACAAGGTGAATGGAGAAAAGTATTCCGATGATGCGAAACTTTTTATTTCATTCAATAATTTATATTTTTGGAAATAGAATAATTTGTAACAGTTGAATTTTTTTGATTTTTTTCTGGTCAACTGATCTATTTTTTCTTGAAAAGCCTCTTAAGGAGCTGGAGTATATTATATCCTTGAGAAGTAACCTAAAAAAATTTAAAAAAAAGAAACAGCGTTCTATATTTTTCGGGAGATTCACGCCGATCAATCCGATCTGGGAGAATTGGCCAGATTATGGTTTGCTAGGCAGGATTAGTTCCAGACCTCAATCTGACATATTCGCGGCTTTCCTCCTCCTCCTATATTTTTAGTGAGAGATAAAGGATAAAGCCTTCGGCGTTGATTAATCCCGTTTTTTGGATGCGCCCCGCATTTGACTTCCACTCAGAATAACAATGGCGTATTGAATGCATATGTAGCCTGTACGCCTATAACCTATTTAATGGATAGTAGGGACTGTGATGGCCAGGTCCTATACGAATCAGCGCTTTCATCCCTCAAGACGGGTCTGATATCATTTGGGGATCCTGAAAAGGCAAGTGGCTTCTTTCTAAGCAAGTATCGGTCCATGATTAGGCCCCGGACCATGCGCATATAGCAGTGCGCGCGTGCCTCTATCAAAACCCCCCACCTTTTTATGACACCAGAAGAAAAACTTGCTCTACTTACTGAGTATCAAGAAACGAGAATGTATTTGCATCAGGAATTCCAAGAATTCGTTGGGAATAGGAAATTGCACTGGGAAACTGGTTACGAACGTCAACTTTGGTGGCGAATGCTTTACAAAAGAATGACAGCAATTGGGACATTAAAGACGATGCTCGTAACAAAAACTGCCTTCGGTACTTTCTTTGACCCCTAGAGATTACAAGGTGTAGCGAGAGGAAGGAAAAGCCAGGAACTTTGAAACCATCGTACCTATGTTAGGCGTCCATCGCTTAGAAGACCAAAGAATGAAAGCATTTAAGGTAATCTATCACTTTTGAGGTGCTCCTTCCCACAGTTCTATTCCCCCTATCACTTCATCGATTCAAGTTCCACATATGATTGTATTTAGTAGCGTTCGATTGAGTACATACTTCGCTCTGACAGAGACTCGATGTGGACTATGACAGATACAAGAGAGTGTCTCTGCCCGCCTGGGCGGCTCTGGTTCCAGAAGAACCTCAAAAGATGAACGACTTGGTGGTTAAGGGGAGGCAGTGGTCCAAGATTTGACCCTATCGTCTATCAGTAAAGACCCGAAGGTCTATCCCACTCAACACAACATGTTCGTGACCAGATACTCGCTCTAGAATAGTCGATCCTATCTAACCAATTATGAAGTTTTCTTTATTGAAAAAGGGGAAGGGCACGGGTAGGGAGCTTCACTGGTCCTGTCACGCTGCAATGTTTACTCATGTTTATTCAGACTTTTATTTTGACTTATGATTGAATTGAACTAAAATCTTTTTTCTGTATTTTAATTAATGTTGAATGCTGCTGGTCTATTTGTCAGACCAGGTCGTTATCTGACTGTTGGAAGAAGCCTCTTACATTGTAGAGTAAGAAAGTGTATGCCCTGAAAATTCATAAAAATTCAAATATATGGAAAAAGACCGGGATTCGAGCCCCTGACCGTGCGTGTGATATAGTGCGCCACTTGCCACTACACCACCTCCGCCCAACCATGTCGGCCTTCCCACGGTTGGGCGGAGGTGGTGTAGTGGCAAGTGGCGCACTATATCACACGCACGGTCAGGGGCTCGAATCCCGGGTCGATGCCCGCCTAGGTCAACCAAGCCTTCCATCCCTCAGGGGTCGGTAATTGGTACCAGACTCGCCTGGGAGGATAAAAGCACTGACTTGCACATCGGCTGGCTACCGCAAGACATTGTATAGGCCACATACGCACTCATTACGCCACTACGATTCTGAATAGAAGTCGAGTGCGGGGGCGCATCCCTCAGACGGGATGAATAACGAATATTGAATAACGTCAAAACCTTTATCCTTTATCCTTTTATGAAAAATACTTTAAACACAAATTCTTTCGAAATTTTTGAGCTTTGAACGAAGCTTCAAACTCTGCGAGCCTTACCAGTCTCACGAACATTCCTAGATTAATTAAAGTTGATTTATTTGCTCACGACTTGCTGGTTAAGGTGGTTAGTGCCAACCTATCACCTACTTTGAATGAAGCCAGTGACAAGGCTGGAAAATCGGTTTTAGTGTTCTATGGAGAAATCGTCATTAAACATGTTCTTGTGGCTTTTCCCCGAAGAGATCATCCTGAGACAGACAAAAGAGTCTAATAAGTGAATAAATGGGTAAATAAATGGGAAGCAATCAAAAAGTGTAAGTTTTTGTGCTTGGCGTATTTTCAATTTTATTAGACGAAATAAGCGATGTTGGCCTCTACAGTCTGCAAAGAAAAATGGTCTCACGTGTCTTTCCATTCAATGCTCTCGCAGCTTTCAGTCGGGGTTTCACTCGTGCCTTTCGCTGAATTGACGTTCTGATACCAGGAGACGTCAACCTGAACGACGTTCTAATTTTGATTTTCTTATTTCAAAGGCTTTCAATGACTATTCTGCACAGTGTATATTTCTTAAGGTCCCTAGATGTGAAATTCAAAAGTCAAAAGTTGTAAATCAATCCTCAAATTGAATCCGTGGCGGGTGATTGTCAGACAGTCTCGCAAAATTTGCGATTTGTGGCGAGAGCAAGAGGGGTTTCGGATGGGTAAGGTGCGAAGAGCACAGTGCCCTGAGAGCATAAGTACGGGTTCGAGTCCCACTTGAGACCGAAGTTCTGCCCCCTACTCGTCAATCTTTTGAGTCTGCGTATTGCTGGGAAGCGACAATAGTTTGCAAGAATATCGAGTTTATCAGAAAGTTGAGCAACGAAATTTCCACAGTCCGGAGGCTGCCACCTACAGTGACGGAACGCCGCCCATACCTATTAAGGGAAGGGAATAGTTATCAGAAATTGTTTGTTGCAAAAGAACAGCTGAAATGATGTATGGGTCAGAAGACGTCATCTAGGTCGCTTCACCAAAACTAGGTCACTGCACCCGAAGATTTCGGCAACTGGTGCCATGACCTTTCGTCGTTTCAAAGATGAAAGGCTCCTGCATCACTGGCGTAGTTCGATGTTTTCAATTTTCTGTACAGTTTTAGCGCAGCGACCACGACGGTTTGTCATGACCATCATGAGTTCGGCCATCACTCCCGTTTTTCTGTCTTCTTTACGAAGAAATCAACATGAACCGATTCAATACTGAGCTAGATAGCATCACCTTAGGCATAGCATCATCCAGGTTGAGAGATTTTGCACGAAGCGACTGCTGTGGCCGTTGGGAAACCTGAAGTTTTTACATTGAACGATTTGAACTGCCTATCTACACAACATGGGTAAGTTTCAAGCGGCTCGAACGTATGGCAGTCGATCTGCCTCGAAACGAATGAACGTTCACTGTCTCCCCTTCCAATAGAGGATGGCTTAATTCAAGGGATCTAATTAATCTTGAAGAATTCAAGGTCCTCACCGAGTCGACCTCAGGCTGTGAGGACCTCTCTGGAGCTTTGCCAATGCCGTCATCTGGCTTCTAAAGTAATAAAAATACATAAATGAATTCAAGATGGGGTTTGAGTGTTCATGTTCATATAGAGTGTTGCTTCCACTGGGGTACACCCACAACTTGAACACAGCTTTGGACTTCACCGAGCTCACGGAAAAAACGTATGGCTAGAAGATCTGCCTCAAAACAAACACTTTTTTAGACATTCACGGTCTCCTCTTCAGGATGGCTTATTTAAGAGAATTACAGTAATCTTGAAGCATTCAGGGTCCTCACCGAGTCGACCTTAGGCTGTGAAGGCCTCTCTGGAGCTTTGCTATTGCCGTCATCTGGCGTTGCGAGGGTGAACTTCTGAAAGTACATAGATGAATTCAAGATAAGGACCTGATTTCACATTCTGTATTGCTCCCATTGGGGTACACCCAGAGCTTCAACACAGCTTTGGATTTCAAGGAGCGCGCAAAAAAAAANAAAAAAAACGTATGGCTAGTAGATCTCTCTCGAGACAACCACTTTCTTAGACATTCACTGTCTCTCCTTCCAATTGAGGTAGCCTTATTCAAGAGAATCTCAGTGATCTTGAAGAATCTAAGGTCCTCACCGAGTCGGCTTCAGAATGTGAAGACCTTTCTGGAGCTTTGCCATTGCCGTCCTCTGGCTTTACAAGGGTGCGCTTCTAAAATACGCAAATGAATTTGAGACAAGGATTCATTTCACATAGTGTATTGCTCCCATTGGGGTACACCCACAGCTTGAACACAACTTTGAATTACACCGAGCGCACGGAAAAAACGTATAGCTAGTAGACCTGCCTCGAAACGAACACTTTTAGACATTCAGGTCTCCCATTCCAATGGAGGATAGCTAATTTAAGAGAGTCTCAGTAATCTCGGAGAATTCAAGGTCCTCACCGAGTCGGCCTTGGGCTGTGAAGACTTCTCCGGAGCTTTCCCATTGCCGTCATCTGGCTTTGCAAGGGCGCGCTTCTAAAATACATAAATGAGGAAAAGGTAAGAACTGATGGCCCATACTGCATTGCGCTCCAATTGGGGTACAACCACAGCTTGAACACAGCTTTGGATTTCACCGAACGCACGGGAGAAAAAGGGCCGAATTCCCGTCTGCTCATATCAGGATTGTCAAAAGACAACACCGATCACCCTCTCTCTGCATCTGTAACGGTACATTAGACCCTGAATAGGCACAATTTTCTTTCTAGGATCCAATACACTTCCCGCTACTCGTGATGCATCTTTTACTGCCACATCGTTGCCGTTCCTGCGAATTAATTGCATTCCTTGGATGAGATCAAAGGATAGCAGGCGAGCTTCTGTTAAATTAAGTACTGTCACTTCTGATTGATTATTGAATAGACTCAGATACGTCTCGAGCCCTTCGCTAGTGAGCTACCTGTATGCTTGGAAAGAGTAGTTCAGCTTTCTTCAAAAATGTGCCGGAACATTCTACTCATTCGTATACGCATAACATAACCAGCGTTCTCATGACTTCGCAGTTGGTGACCAGATCAAGGCCCATCTTCGGTCTTCCTGGTCCCAGTATTGAAGCGTTAGAACCAGGCATGTACAGAACACGAGTTTGAGGTCAAACTCTTGCTGCTGAAGCCCACCTTTTGATGGGCTTCAGCAGCGGAACCGGTGGATACCAACTCGTAAAGTAGCACGTTCAAATAAGGGAAGACCGTTTGGTCGCTGTAAGGTTAAAGGCAAGGAGAACGACATCCCAAACAGTAAGAAAAAACTGGGAGTAATGCGAAATTTCCGGCAGATATCTTCCAGGCCAGCAATAAGATACAATCAGAATCAAACAAATTCAATTGTTAGCCGACTGTCGGTGATCTGGAAAAACTCACTTTTATCTCTCGTATATTTTCATAGAGTACTGGTGATGACNTTGTAGAGTCCGTCCTATCCTGCAAATGCAGCTTTTTGACAAAAATGGCAAAAAAGCACGAGAGAAACAGTAAGAAAAGCTAGGAGACAGGCAGTAGAATTGGTTTTGGGTAATCGATCTGCCGCAAGCGGCTGTCGCGGAACATTTGCCTCATTATTATAGCTCTGGCGTTCTTCACACATCTCATCGATATCGATATGCGATCATTATTTAGGCATAATTATAGTGTTAATTCTTTTGTTTCTCTATTTCTTACTTGCTGCTCCATTCTGCTACATTCCTTCGTGCGCGGCATCCCTCTCGCCGCGACGCGACAATTTCGATACTACCGCACCACACCCACTTGGATTGCTGTACCGCAAATTTTCTCGCATCAAATGAACGAATAAGTAAATAACTAAAGTAGCGACAATTGGTTTATGATCCGAACAACTGGCCCTGATTTCCTGACAGAGCTGAGCTTATTGTTAGTTGGGCGTTGGCATTCTGATTGCTTTTCAGGAATTCCAGTATCGCTTCTGATTTGTGGGTTACGGAGCTGCGGAAAACCGAGCCAATGAAAAGTGTGCTAGAGCTCACCTAACTTCATTACTAACTAGCTGTTCTATCGCATTTGAACCATTAATTATGAAGACTTACCAAATTACTCACCAATTTGGTAGACTGCTCTGAATATCTTGGCGTAACTTTTTCCAAACTTTCGCTCCTGATCGGAGGATCGGGCACCTATAAAGCAATTATCTACAGAAGGTAATTATCAAATCGGCGCTGTTTGTAATGGGTCTTAGATAGACGTGAGTTCCCCTAAGACGTAATTGACCTGTGACCCTGCAGGTGATCAGACTCCAAAAGCTTTACGGAACATATTGCCAGGATCCCATTTCGGGCTCCTGAGGTACACTTCACACTGGGCCGCTCAAACATTCGTCCCCCAGCAACAAAATGGACAACCATGTTGAAGACCAACGAAGTCGACCTTCGAATTTGGACAATTTTTACTTTGGATTCTACTGAGTGCAGGGGAGATACGCGAAATTCCGGATTGCTGGTATCCGAACAGTCTAATAACAGCACCGATCATCCTCCCTCTGCATCTATGCATCATTTGGGAATAGTAGCTTCTCAATAGGCATCATTTCCTTCTTTTTAGGGGTTCCTTCGTTTTACGATGCTCGTGATGCATCTTTTTCTGCTATACCGCTGCCATTCCTACCAGCTGAGTCCTTCTTCTTAGGCTACGTGCAAAAGCGGCAATCGAGCGCTGCGTTCGCAGGGTCTAGGCGCCGCTAGCGAATTTCTGTGAAAACTTTCGTTTTATAAAAAATGTTTTTAACGAATGGACTCAGAAACGCTTTCAGTCCTTCCCTAGTAGGCTAGCAAACTGTTTCATGGGCCTCAGCAGCGCATCGGCCGTATTCGAACTCGTAAGGGAGTAGGTGCGAATATGGGAAGACAGTTTGGCCAAGGTTGAATAGGGAAGAAAAAACGAGCCGAAAACCTCATAGGCAAACAGTGGATAGTGTCGTTGAAGACATCCATGTTCGACTCTCGATGAATCTTGGCATAGCTTTGCATTGATGTGATAAGACTTTTTTAAAACCTGCTGCCAAGATGTTAAATAAGTTGTTATCAACTTACGTTTCGGCGTAATCGCCTTCTTCAGAGCCTGGAAACCTGTGTATTATGAATGAATGATTACGCCGAAACGTAAGTTGATAACAACTTATTTAACATCTTGGCAGCAGGTTTTAAAAAAGTCTTATCACATCAATGTCGTTGAAGAGTGGTTTTATGGGAACTTTCAGAAAGAAGAAAACTCCAGAATAAAATGGGAGATTGCGGATTTTTCGAGATTTAGAGAGATATCTTCCAAACCAGCAACAGGATGAAGCCAGAATCAAATATGGTTAACAGCAAAACTTTTGATAAACTTATGAATCCGTCCTATCCGGCAAATGAACCTTTTTGTGGGAACCACTAGTGCAGTAACACTTCCAGTTGTTTTCCATTGGCAACTAGTAAGAATACTTGATGTGTTGAAGGTAACTGGTTAGGGAAGGCCCATTCATTTTAAACCTCGACTAAGCAATTCTGACTGGTCAAGCTACACATTCTTCTATTTTCTCACGGTCAACTTTGAATTCAAACTTCTGCTTTTCGGTCATCCTAAGTTACTGCAGTATAATTATAGATTGAGTATAAGTCCCCGGACATAGTGATAGTGATGACTTCCAGAGATCATAACTTGGGAGAGCGGTGACGAAAATAGACTTCGCGCATCATTAGATAGAGTATAAGAAGCCCCTCCAAATACATACTAACGAACACACGTAACTGTTTCCTTTCCTGCAACCATGCCCCATGATTTCAAGCAGTCGCAACTCCCTCTCCGCATCACCATCCTATTTCTTTTTTTATCTAGCCAAGAACCCGCAGGGATCGATAGACGTACGAAGGAAGTTTACAAAAAGGTTGCTCCTGCTAGATGCACAATTTACAAGTGGCACACAATGTTCAGTCGGATAACTATCCCATCGAAAATGAAGACCGTCCGGGACGCTCAATGGAGTTGGATTTGGGCGTGCTGCGAAGCCAGGTGGAAGCCGATCCGTATCAAACTACTCGTGAACTGGCAGTCACTCTTGGGGAGTCAGTCCACAGTTATTCGTGGATTGAAGTCAATTGGCAAGGTGCGAAAGCTCGGTCGATGGGTGCCTCATGATTTGAAGCAGTATGACATGGACTGCCACGCTGACATGGCACTTTCTCTCCTCACGCACAGGCGCAGGAAACGTCAGGGTATTCGTTAGTATGTGTTTGGAAGAGCTTTTCGTACTCTATCTAACAGTTCCACGCTCGTCTATTTTCGTCACCTATTCTCCGAGTAATGATCTCTAGAAGACATCACTAACACATTGTCCGAGGGCTTATGACTCAACCTAATATAGAAGTCCTGCGAAAAATGGCTCTCAGGGAGGATTTGTTTCTTCTCATTCTTTTGTTATTTTTCACTATAGAGATTTGCTTCTTCCATCTATAAAGATATTAGACAAATTAATCTAGAAGAGCAGAGTTATGTAGAAGATAATTGACAAAAATGACAAAAACTCGAAAGAAGCATCTGGGTAAACAGGTTACTGGCATCTAGACAGTCCCACGAATGAAACTGGTCCCCTTCTGTTGCACTTATTCACTTGGAATACTGTAACGCACATTTCATCGCATCAAATGAATAAATAAGTAAACAAACAAAATAGCGACATCTGGTTTTTGATCCAGTGAATTGGCCTTGAGTTCCTGGCAGAGCTGAGCTCATGCTTATATGGGCGCTGGCATGCAAATTGCTTTTCAACTGATTGCGGAGCTTGATCATCCCAGTTCCCCTTTTTATTGGTTGGCTATTGAATTAAGGGATAGCTGACCAATACGAAAAGGGCTGGCATCCTTCCAGCTCCACTTTTGACTTGCTATTCTAATGCTTTGAAGCCACTAATTATGAGGACTTCGCAATTTACTCACCAGTTCGGTAGACCGCTGTGAGTGTCTGGGCGTGACTTTCTCATAACCATCGTTTTGGCTCGGAGGAGGGGGTGCCTGTAAAACAACTATCTAGAAAAGTATTTGTCAGATTTAAGGTCATTTCTTCTAAGACGTAAGTGGTCTGTGGCTCTACAGACGACCGGACCCCGTAAGCTGACCAATCACGATAGGCCGTCCGTGACTGGTCCACTCATGGAGTTCGTTCTCCCGCGAACCAATCACGACCGAGTAGGCTGTTCTCCCGCAGTCGTAGCCCATGCTTATGCAGTTCATCCAAGCTCACTTACCTCAGGGAGACTGTCGATTTCTTCCAATAAAGACTTTGACGAAATGGCTCTCTTGACATCCTCCGATCTGAAGTCTGAGCCAACATGACAGACGTGCCTAGGGGAGCTTATATGCCTCGATTATGTGAATGATACTATTCTCATGATGACAATACATTTTCACAGAGTACGGTACGGTTCCAAAATTGGGAAATAAAACAAAAAACGAAGAGTTTTCGGAACCTGAAATTGAATGGAGCAGAGATCGGGGGCTTCTTGTCAATTTTCGATAATCTCGATTTCCGTGGAGGAGGTTGGGGGGCATCATCGTCGTTTGCCATGTCCTGAAAGAATCTTTTATTTTCAGAAAATTAACGACAGCGTTCGATCGTCTATAAACAGGCAACTATGACGGGATGGATAGCTCTTAACAACGGGGTTCGAGATCATAGATATGCTGGAGAGCGAGACATGATCGCGATAAGAAGCTTCTGAAAGACCAAGCCCGGAAGATTGATAAGGTTGGTAATTATATTCGAACGGGAATTTGATGGACGTAACCGGAGAGTGGCAATGGCGCCACTTACCGCTACGTTAACGTCACTACACGAGTCATGGCCAGAGCGATAAAGCGGTAACTTGCGAACCTTCCATAGCCACTAAGACGAATAGAAACTGATTTATGATTGTATCTAACCACTTCCAAAATGGGAAAGGTGGCACGGTACCAAATAAATCAGTTCACATTATTTTGGTCTATATTAAAGACGACCAGCTGTCTCCAATAATACTCTCCAAGGCTTAACTTTACTCAACCACAATGATTTCGAAGCCTGTGAGCAGTATTTTTATATTATCCTTCTTATATATAAAGCAGTAACTTGGTTTGTCGGTTTGTC